TAACTCTTACTTGTAAGGTCTGTCTTCATGTTGACTTATGATTTGAATACAGTTTAACTTGTGGGATCCTTTCATGCTGCTGCTTGTGGATACACAGTCTTTTCCACATTGTGTGTGGCGAGCTTCTCTTTATGATGCGGTCTTGGAATCATCAACCACATAGGTTGGAGTTCACTTCTCGGATCTCTCCAGCATGGCACTGGTCTCTGTGCCACTTGTATGCATGTGAGAACTGTGGCTACAGCCTTCATTGCTGTAGGTTGGTAGTAAATTTTGAGGTTAAGTATTATTTTGTTCTTTTACATATTTATTTAGACAATTATGGTCTATAAAGATTCTATATGAATGTTAAGTAGACTTTCTATTTATGCAAAATCCCTCTGGTATCCCAGGGATTTCTTCAGAGATTTTGAATCCTTTTTGTAGTACGGACATTTACCAATGTAAATCTGTGCTTACATTTCTACTCATGCAAAGTCTGTTTCTAGATGTGGCATTTAGAATTGAGTTTTTATTCTATTCTCTGGCTGAATTATATTAATTGTAAATTAGTTGTCTATATGAATTAAATATAAAAGCACCTATGTATTTTCCCCACAAATCACATTACATATTCTATTTTATAGAAACATCAGCGAAATAAGACAATTGCAGATGACACCTATTGAAGTACTGATTATTGACCTTGAAATAAACACTGAAGACTTCCAGGGCATTGTAAGAAAACATTGTTGAATACATTATAGCAATTCTCCTTTTAGAGCATGCAGGAAAGAGAGGGTGTGAAGGATGAAGGGAGTCTATCCGTTTACCTGGGTCAAGGTAAGAAGGGCACACTTAGGCACAGGATACCAAACTGTACAGAGCCGCAATCTCCCACATACACACGTATTCACTCATGGGAATCATGAGAACATGCTGTGCTCACAGTACTGGCTGTTTGGCCCGTAGGTTGGAAGATGGATATTAGTAAAAAGCACTATCGAGAATGGTACAGAGTTCTCTCTCACACATCTGGATTGTAGTGACTCTGTTGTTACCTTTAGTGGGGTCTTTGTTTGTAGCATAGGTCAAACCAGGCAGATTATATAGAACTGTGGCATCTTGGTCATTTAAGTTTACAGGTTTTGGTGGCTCTGAAAAGTGAGAACAATATCAATAAATTATACTAGAAGAAAAGTCATTAGAATTTTTAAAAAGTTAAAATAAATCTTGATCCCCTTCTGAAGAAGTTCACTCAAGTTTACAATTATTCTAGATGCTGCAGCCTGGCCAGCACAAATCAGTTCTTTCAGAGTTCTCTTATTCTGGCTGTTTATGTTATAAAAGCGCATTGTAAGGGTGTCTGTTGAGAAAGAAAGAATGGAGCTGGTTTAGGTAACACAAAGCTGTGCTCATACTTTGAAGGGTGAAGAAGGTGGATAGCGATTTGGGAGACAGTCAGGCTTACACAGTTAATGTGATGGTGGGTGCAATTATTTCCACACCTAACAATACCCTTTCACAAACAAACAAACAAACAAACAAAACAAGAACAAACAGTGACAGAAGGAGGGTGGGAGAAGTCAGTATGCACTCTGTACAAGGCTGAAACTATCAAAGAACTAATTTAGTTACTAAAAAATACATCAAATAAAGTACAGAAAGAAAGATTCTGTATGCGAATGTCAGAGTAATGTCAGTACTTCAAAAACCCTTAGGGTTATAAATAGAAGTACATATTCTAAAAAATAAAATTTCAGATATAGTTTTCCCTTGTGTAACCCTGTATCTTAAAGAAAAATGTGACATTCCCATGAGCAGTAATAGAAGAACAGAGGGAGTGATAGGAATACAAATATGCTATTTTTGGTGAATTCTATACTATTAGAAGCAAAATAATCTGATGAAAACAGTTCAGTATCCATTTAGTTGAAGAAAACACTAAAATACAGAATTATCAAATATCAGTTTTGATACTTGGATATAGTTTTTTTTTATGTTTTTATTGCCATAGCTATTAACTATAGTCATTCTACATGACTATATTTGTGAGAACCTATGGAAATTAAAGCACACATGTTCTTCATCCAGCCGCCCCACTCACATACTCTACTGTCTAACGTAGGAGAATAAAAGAGGACAGTGGCGTTGGTCACACTGTTGGTTGTAGTTGCAACAACATAAACCGAAGGCTTATTTATATGCAGATTAAGTGTTATAGTTTATCGTTTGGGAACACAGCGCCGAAAGCTCAAGCTGTGAGATGAAGGAAACCAACCGGTTCACCCGAGTAGGGTAAGGGGATCTGTGCACAAGATCCTGTTGCTGTGCAGGAAGACAAACCTCTCCGCCCAGGCTGGTGACGTAACTTAGCTGTTTGTCGGAAAGGGACTCACGGGTTTGAAAATTCTGGCAAACAGAAACAACGGGAAAGGAATATTTTAATTCACACATCTGTATCACAGCATCTCCTTTACCTTCAGTCAGGAATTTCTTTATAGCAGACTTTGACTTGGATGGATTATTTGAAAGTTGAACATCTTCACCTTCTAAATGAGAAGTTTTAGACAGCTCTGAAAAAAAATGAGAACGGCATCACTCAGCGACGATGGGCATAAACTATTCCTGAGCACAGCTTCCTCCAGCTGTTGACACAGAGCAGTTGGCAGGCACTAGTGGACTGTCTGGTTTACCCTTGCCTGGCAGGTGGTATTCTATGAACGTGCATTGTAAGAGTGCAAGTCAGGGACTAATGGAGCAGCGGAGGTCCTGTGGGCCTGTAGTCACCCTCTGCCTCTGCTGCCTACTTCTTCACATTTTTGTTTTCTCCTTTCTCTTTCTTCCTCTTCCTTTCCTTTCCTCTTTTTTATTTTATTTTTTCATTTTTGTGGTATTGGGGACTGAACACAGTTCCCCGCACACACTGGCTGAGAGCTCCACAACTGGGCTACCTCCAGCCCCAGCACTCTACACACTTTTTATACTGAGATGGGGGTCTCATGGCCAGACTAGACTTGAACTCTGTGTGTTGTCAAAGCTGACCTGACCTTGTGAGTTTCCTCAGGAGTCTCCCAGGAGCTGCAGTGCAGGTATGGAACTCCAGGCCTAGCCATCTCCTCTTCCACGTTCCCTTCCCCTTGTACCTCCCTTCCTGGCAATACCATTCCAGGAGGTCAAGTGTTTTTCTCATGGTAGTTGATTTCATGGTCCTGCTGGTGGTTTTCAGAGTGCCTCCCGTTGTTTTTTATGTGTCTTGTTGTGGTTTAGCCTCAGACCTTTTCACCTTTGTAAAGTAATTCCTTATAGGACGCAGACACGGAGTCATGATCCCTTTCTCTGCATAGACTTTTGATTCCACTGCATTTTATTTGTTTTCTTTTTTACTAGCACATACCAATTGTACAAAATTATATTTTCCTTAATGTGCACACATTTTTAGCTAAGATAAACCCTAATTGGCCTATATTTATATTTTGACCATTTCTTCAATGCTAATTAAAACTATATTCTAAGCTGGATATCTTATATATTTTTGCATACTTATTAAAAAATATTTTTTCAGGTTTGCATTAGCAAAGGTGACTAGCTATTACATTTTCAAGTGTTTCTCTTATTTTGTTGCTTATTATTATTTAGACTGTTAAAGTCTCTGATGTTTCCATATGAGTTTCAAAATGGACTTTTCTACTCTAGTAAGGTATCGATGTAATTCTAGGGATTTTTGTGCAGGTTGTAGTTAATTTTTGTGCTAGTTTCAGCTAACCAATATAGTTCAATATTGTTAATATTTTCAATTCATAAAATCTAGTGCTGAGAATTATACAGAAATTTTTCATGTTTTTATTTCCATAACAATTAGAACAGTCCTTATAGAATGTATAAAAGAAGTGTCTATGGGTAGTAAAAGCATAGATCTTCTAAATATAAAGCCTCACTCATACACTCTATAGAGACAAACTAGCATAATAAAAATGTGACTAGCAGGATATGTTGACACACATGTTTAATTCTAGCACATGGGAAGCAGAGGCAGTTCTAGGCCAGCCTGTCCATATAGCAAGTTCTGGACCTGCTGTGGCTACATATTTAAGTCCCTGTCTCAAATAAAAAAGGGATGATTTGGATTGCACACAGAGATGTACAGTTACTTGAAAAGGAACTACTGATAAGTGATATATTCTCATTTCAGAACATTACAGAGAAAATGAAACGTATAAAACATAAAGGAAATTGATCAATTTATCTGGGTTAGAGGTAAGGGGGTCTATGCATAGGGTTCTATTTCTATTTACAAAAAACCCAGTGGGCTCATAATATAGGCTGGCTCTTTGTTGGAAGAGGCCACACGGAAGGATACTGGTAGACAGGAACAGTGTGAACATAACACAGAGTTTCATTTTCAACACATATCGCAGTATTTTCTTTACCTTTAATGACTTTGATTTTTGGAGTAGAGGCAGGCATCTTCCGATTTTTTGGAAGTTTAATACCTTTTTCAACTAATTTTACAGGTTTAGGCTGTTCTGAAAAAGAGACTAAGGTTAAGAACTGATACCGTAAATAAACTAATTTCAAATTTTAAAGGGGCAAAAATCAATTCATTATGTACATACTTTTTATCTAAACACATGTAAATCAAAACATAATTACATTACTTCCCCCCTTCCCTTTTGACCTCTAGGCCTTCCCATGTTCTTTCCCTCTGGATCTGCCAGGTGCCCCCAATCTTAAGTTAATAGCTTCTTTTTCTTGATTATTATCATTGCATATATATGCAAAAATCTCTAAATATAGTCTGCTGCATCTGTTTTTGTTGTTTGTATGCACACGGTTTCAGGGCTGACCAATTTATATATTGGATAAGCAGTCAAGGGGCTCATGCCTGGGAGAGGCTGGTTCTTCCTCTCTTAGCAGTCATTCCTTTCCCTGCAGTTCTTAGTCGAGGGGTGAGACCCTGTGAGATTTTTTTCCCTCTTCTGTGCTAGCATGTTTAATGATATTGTCATTATTCAGGTCTTGGAAAAATCAATCTTAGTCTCTTCTAAACCCTCCTAACCCTTCAGTAATGTACATGAAGCAGTTTGACCAGCAAATTTCTGGTCATTGGTATTTTATGTGAGTCTATCATGATAGTGCAAGTCGGGGGCTGGGGAGAGAGCACAGCCCGTGAAAGGCTTGCCACACAAGCACGTAGACCCGAGATCAGTTCTCCAGCATCCATCTAAAGTTTGGGGCTGTGGCAGGTGACCGTAATCCTAGTGCCGGCTCAGCACTGGAGCTCCCTGAGGCTTGCTGTCCAGAAAATCCCACTCTTTGTTTGGTGAGACACTCTGTCTCAGAAAATAGGTTTTGGGCTCTGTTCCAAATGCACTAACTTTGTACAAGTTTTGTTGCGTTCTGCAGACTTTGAGACTGGTTAATTTGATTGGGTGATACTTCTTATTTTTTGCAAGTTTTTTTAAATAATAAATTTTATAAATGAAGAAAGAGTCTGTTTGAAAGTGGCAG